CCATCAAACAAGAAGACAGCCGCATGTAGCTATGATGGTGTTTGCTAGTTCACCTTACATGCATTAATGTAATAACGTGGTTAGCCTACTCAACGTAAATTACACACGAACAACATTAAGCTACTCACGCAGAGAAGAACGGCTGCTGCTGCATCATCATCCTCATCATATCTGCTACACTGGCAGGGCTAGGGGCCAGGACTCTCCTCTTCGGGTTTTTGGGGGATGTTGCTAACTCCGGGTCCGATAACAGGCACCACACCCGCAGTAGATGTGCTCGGTGTGAGGTCTCGCAGCAAGCTATCAAATACGGCGCATTTCTCGGCTTTTAAAAAAACGCTATGCGTCGCCAGGTGTTTCATCAGATTTGAGGTGTTTCCTCCTTTGACAGCATCACAGTATCAGCTTAAAGCACTTGTTGCAGCTGCTGAGTTTGCATCTTTTGCTGTGAAGTACAGCCAGACTTTGACCGCTTTGCCTTGGACATTTTTAATCTGTAGCTCTGCTCTAAGAGAACGTACGTACCTGGACCCGCCTACTATCCTCGGAAACGTAAAATGATTGGCTAGAATCTAAAGTGTATCACAGCTCAGGACAAAAAAAAGCACCGAAATAAAGCACCGAAATAAAGCACCGAAATAAAGCACCGAAATGTGCGCTGGTTTTCGGTCTGGTTACTACCGTTTATGTCAGAACCGGTGCCATCATGGCACCAGATACCGGTACCCATCCCTACCTGTGAATCAGTACTCAACACCACACTGTTCTTAGATGGCTTTATGTGTACACAGCATGGTTCAGGTTCAGTTTTATCAAAGGTCACATCAGGCTTGCTTAATGATTCTGTGTTGCAGATGACATCACAATTTGTTAAGAGATATATTCTAAAACACTTCTTCAGCAGAGAATCAAAGAGGAGAAACACACAGAATTTCTTGCTAGCAAGGGCAGCCCCCAGAACTCACACCCCAAGAGTGAGTCTCAGAGACTGACCCTGAGGACTGCCCTGGTCCTTTATTTATACACTTCAGTGAGCGTTTGTTCCATACATTGGAATGTGGAGGTGTACATGTGTGTGTGTGTGGGGTCAGAGTGTGACCCCATAAAGACTTCCCTAAACCTGCTGGTCTTGAAGTCCAGCAGTTCATCAAACCAAAAGCACTTAGACTAAGACAGATATAACTACGTTAATCCTACCGTAAAACAATAAAACAAGGTACGACCTTTCCCATGCTCCTAGGATGTGGGGGTGAACGCCAGAACACCCTGGAATGTTACAGACTTCCTAGGATGAGACCAACTACATACTTCTAAACACAAATGATTCACTGCAGTATTCTACCATATTCAAACTTATATCATTAAAAGATTATACTGACTAATAAGTACAATTTTCCATTGACACAATTAAATCACAATCTCAGTTTTATTATTGCGTTTCTGTATTTCTGTGAACATGAAATTCGGCAGGGGTATTGTGACAAAGTGGATGAGCAGTTGCAATGCTCTCCATTCGTCCCATATGTGTTGACTTTTTTTTTGCACATTATACACATTATTCTATTTCTATTTATTTGCTTTGATTTGCTGTTTCTCAAGTAACATTGCTGCAATTACTATCCCGGGTTTGTTTTTGTAAGCGTTCTGTTACAAATTAAGGCAAATACTCTTCTTGATATTTTATTATGTTACAGATGTCCCACATCATTTGTACAGACGTCATTTGTTCATACTTAGTTTGTTCTCTTTTCAGTCTTCATGACGGTCAGGTGCATTGAAATCTGCTGCAATGACCCGGTTACTGCGTTCACCAGATATCAACACAATTTTGATCCGCTCCTCACGTGTTAACCTCTTCGACATGTCAATGGCTGTGAACAAAGAGAAACTTGTAAATAACTCATGAAAGAAAAAAGTTACGTTGAAACCAAGCACACAGGTGAGCTGTGTTACCAGATCCATGTACTTTTGAGGTTTGTTAAGTTACACATTAAATTAAGTTCACTGTAAATAAATTGCTCACCTCTGGAAACCTGAAATGTCTGCATAGTCTGCTTCCCTACCACCTTCCTTGATGTTTGAGTCTGACTACTTCACAGGTATAAATCCAGCTGTGTCAGCTGACAGGATGTCAGACCAGTGTTTGTTCTGCTGCTGAAGGTTAGCGGTCTTTACAGGAAGGTGATTTCAGTCATTTGTAAAATTTCCATTACTGTCTTCACAGCTACATGATGATCATCTTTGTTCTTGCAGCAGAGGAGGAATGATCAGAATAACCTGTTCCAGTCACGCTGCAGCCTTTAGGAAGTTTAGTGATAGGAAATATAAATAACTGCAACTTGAATCTTTACTGAAACTCAGTATTTCACATAGAGTTCATGTTCACTGCTTTAATAACTAATAATGATTAATATAATAACTATAATATTGGCCATATTATATTTACATTACCACAGTGAGATGATTTTAGTCTCATGAACAACATTAACTAATTGTTATTTACTAACTAATCTTGAAATGACTGTTCAGCACAAAAATGAAGCCCAACAATCATGTTTTACAGTCCTGTGGTTTCAGCCTCAGATACTCAACTAATCAAAGTGATGTCTTAAAAAAAATATGAATGAACGAAAAAAACATTTTTTCTCCTTCATTTCTGTCACACAAGCCTCTCACTTCCGCACTTCTTGTACTTCCTAGTACGCGCCGTACCTAGAACGCAAACAGCGCATACTCCGAAGTGTGCGGTCGCTGGATTGGGACGCAGCCAAAGAGTCTTTCTTTTCCCTTAGCTCCTCAGACCCATCAAGCTGCAGGATCATCTTCATCATTATTGTTCCAGTGAAGACAGAGTACAGTCAGTCATAGACAAACAAATCCTTTAAATTCAATTTTATTTATATAGCACTAAATCACAACAACAGTTGCCTCAAAGTGCTTTATATTATAAGGTAAAGATTCTTGCATAATACAATAAAAACAGAGAAAACCCTAATAATTAAAACCCTAATGACCCCCTGTGAGCGACCACTTTGATGACAATTTGAAGGAATAACTAACTTTTCAACAGGTAAAGACCTCCATCACAACCAGGCTCAGGGTGGAGCAGATTAATATGCAGAGAGGGGATTATTAAAAGGCATAGAGACATTTGCACTGCTAAGCAGCTGACACCCAACTTTATGTATCCAGATAAAACATGTGTTATCTGGATATGTGTTATCCAATGTGCCAATGTGTTATCTAGCTTGTCTTAAATATATAAAGACCTGCATGACCTCTAATTTCCTGTCTCAGAGTAGGGCTGGGCCATATTATACCATTCACAGTAATACCGGTACAATGTTAGGCAACGACAAGAAAATGAAATACCGCGATAGAATATGGGTAAAACGCGCATGCGCAGTGCCTTTGTTTTTATGCGCACATGGCTGAAAAAGCATGGCGGCAACAGAGAATGAGAAGGGAGAAAGCGGATCGTTGAGTGAAACGGGTGAACCAGAATTAGTTTGTAAAAATGGTGCCACTTCAGTGATGTGGAACTGGTTTGGTGTTTGTCTTTCAGATACACAACAAAGCACATTTTTTTATACAAAATGCAAGCGGGCTGTCACCGTATTTGTTGAGCTAAGGTGCTCGTAAATCTGGGAGTAATCTGAGTCCTAAACTCCGTCCGCTTCAGGTCTCAAAGTCAAACGATTACTGCAGCATCACTGAGAGTTAAAAACTGTCTAAATTCTTTCATCTTTAATAAAATGATCAGCGTTGCTGCTTTAACAGGTGTAGCAATGAAGTTTAACATCCAGGCATCCATGAAAACAGGATTTATTACACTTAATGGAGTTAGAAGCTAGTAGGAAGTTAGCGGAAGTTAGCTCGCTAGTTTCGCTAGTTACCTAAGCATGATATAGCATGTTCTGACTGAGAGATTTCTGAAAAAACGTACAGCTCTGCTATCACTTCCAACAGAAATGAAGACAGGAAACTAAACAGCAGTCACTTTTGTAGGGTTACTAAAGTTGGGCTAGCTGGTATTTAATGATGCGCTACGTGATCGCTAGCTACTCAGCTATGTTAGCATAACATAAACAGTGAAGCTGGAGGATGAACGCTAACACTTTTCCACTCAATAAAAGTTAACGTGAAGGTTCCTGATGGTTAGAGACAAATGCAATCTCATGGCAGGATGCTGTAAACAGACCAAACTTCAGTCAGGAGAACAACTGAGATAATCCCTCCACAATACGAGGTTAGTCATTAATATACTGCAACAACATGGGAACAGAGCAGCTTTGATAGAATACAGCATTAATGAATCAATGGTACAGAAGTGGAGGAAGCAAGAAGAATGAGTTGAATAAAGTTTGACTTATCTGACTGCTTTGTTTTGCTTAATGTGCCTTATAATCTTTTATTTGGCACACTGCAGTTTAATGTAGCAAAGCACCTCTTTTTAACTTCAGTGGATATTACACATGGTTATGCTCAGGATATGTCAGCACATTTCTACTGGAAATGTCTTTCGGTTAAACTGTCAGCAAGGAATTTGCATTTGCACTATTAAAGTTTTATATATATTGTCTCGCATCAATTGTATCGTTAGTTATATCGTTATCGCAAATTTTCAAATAAATATCGTGATAAATATTTTTGGTCATATCGCCCTGCTCAATCTCAGAGTGATGCTGAAAAACTACATCATGCATTTATTACTTCCAGGCTGGACGACTGTAATTCATTATTATCAGGATGTCCTAAAAACTCCCTGAAAAGCCTTCAGCTAATCCAAAATGCTGCAGCAAGAGTACTGACAGGGACTAGAAAGAGAGAGCAGATTTCTCCTGTTTTGGCTTCCTGTTGAATCCAGAATTCAAAATCCTGCTCCTCACATACAAGGTCTTAAATAATCAGGCCCCATCTTATCTTAATGACCTTGTAGTGCCATATTACCCTATTAGAGCACTTCACTCTCACACTGCAGGCCTACTTGTTGTTCCTAGAGTATTTAAAAGTAGAATGGGAGGCAGAGCCTTCAGTTTTCAGGCCCCTCTAGTCATGTGCCAGTCAATGTTAATAGCCCCAATCCGGAGCCAGGTTTTCTTCCTGTTCAACAAGAGTTTTATTTCTTCAAATTGTTCTCAAGCCTTTGGTCATAGAACCTTAACAACAGATAAGTGGAGATGAGAGGAAAATAGATTGAGTGAAAGTGAACAGAAGAGTTGGAGGAATGTGAAAACAAATTCGGAGGTAGATGAAGAGTGGTGAAGAAGACATTACTCAGTACATTACTCAGAAACTTGTGGGTGACTTGATGATACTATATGTCTCATGATGTAGTCCAAATCTGTGTTGCCTCTCTTTAAGCTTCCTGCAGAGGAGAAAATTAAAAGCAAGTCTCACTTCTCTTGATGTCATTTCTACATCAGGCACATAAACACATCCTGTGACTTTGGAAATGTCTTTTTTCCCCTACATGTAATTTATATTATAGATCAAAGATCATACACAATATTGTCAAAGATTTTCTTAAAATTTCATGTGAAATATCAGCTTCTGATAATCATATGTCTGTAATAGCCTCTGACTGGTTGTCAAACTCAACGCAGATCAACATGGGATTTTAAGAGCCATTTTAACAAGAGTAACAAACACTGTTTTCAACATCGAGATTTTTTAAAAAAGAAGCAGTATAGTGATTTCATGATTTCTTTTGTAGAAAGATTCAAAAGGAACACTGTTGTTCACAGACAGAATTCAGAATTTCATTCCAAACACCTCATGGGAAAACTCTCCCCCCCCCCCCCCCCCCCCCCCTTTCTAGCGGGGTTTCAGTGACATCACATGGATGAATAAATTAAGTCTACCTAAAAGGGCAGACATAACATCATCACCACCCCCACCCGAAATTGGGTAATAAGCCCCAAGCATGATAGAAAGTGGAGTGTTCAGTGCGAGAGGAACACACCCGAAAGACAGGACCATGGTGAAGCTTGGAACCTGGACCCACCGTAGCCGGTTACCAAGATTATGTGAAGTATACTCTGAAGGTCTACTAGATTATGTAAATCCACCACTATGGACAATTCCTATTGCGACCATCAATGAGACACAAATCAGTTGATCTACACCACAGTACCAGTGATCTGTGAGATGCTTGGCTACAAGATTAAAAGTAGCAAGGAGCAGTACCCTTCATGGAGAAGGAAACTAGAGGCCAAGATCAAGGTAACATGGAGGGAGGATAGCAAAGTATTGGAGCTGCGGAAAGAGTTCTTAAGCTGTCCATACCTGAGGCCTTGGAAACTGGCAAACAAAGACTTGGCCTGGCTTGAAGTACACCAGATAAATAAATGGCAGGAAAATAAACTAGCTCCTTTCCACTGAACCATCCAAGATACACGCTTAGTGGCAGGGGAACAATATGAGTACAGCACCACCCAAGCTAGAGACAGAACAATACTGGAAGAGCATATGTGAGAAGTATTTAACCCATAACTTAATTAACCCATAAACATGCTCAGTGGCTAGTGGCAGCAACCTCCCTTAACATGGTCTCCAGTCACCATCACAGTGGCAAACATTCAGTATGAAGAGTTGGACAGCACTGGCCAAAAAACCTAGGGGTAGGTTAGAATACCAGAGGTGCAAAACACAAGGTGCTGGCAGACAGAGCAGTCGCCCGAGATTGTAAGCCCAGACTTACCTGTGCCCCTTTGAATGCCTAGAATCAAAAGGACATTTGGAGCCTTCATCAGGGACTCAATGGGTATGTAGCGACCAACACTAGAGGCCAACTTCAAGTATATTACACGAGTCACCATGAAATTTGCAATCTATCAGGGAGACGTTCTGTCCCCACTGCTGTTCTGCATAGGCCAGACCCCCTCAGTGAGATCATTGAAAAGACTGGCTACGGATACCGACCATGGAATGGAGCAGTTGTCAGCCACCTCCTGTACATGGATGACATCAAGCTGTATGCCAAGAGTGAACGAGACATCGATTCACTGATCCACACTACCAGGCTATACAGCAATGACATTGGAATGTCGTTCAGAGTGGAGAAGTGTAGCGGATGATAACAAAGAGAGGGAAGGTAGTCAGAACTGAGGGGATTGAACTACCAGAAGGCAACATTGCAGACACTGAGGACTACAAGTACCTGGGGATCCCACAGGCAAATGAGAACCACGAAGAGGCAGCTAGGAAAGCTGCAATTACAAATTACCTACAGTGAGTAAGGCATGTCCTGAGGAGTCAGCAGAATGGGAAGAAAAATCAACATCTATCAACATCTACGCCCTGTCGGTGATCAGGTACCTTGCTGAAATAATAAGCTGGCCAAAGGAGGAGATGGAAGCAACCAACATCAAGCTCCTGACCATGCATGGAGGGTTTCACCCTAAGCCCAGCACCCTGAGGCTGTACGCTAAACAGAAGGAAGGAAGCCGGGGACTAGAGAGTGTCAGCGTCACAGTCCAGGATTAGACAACGAACATCCAAGAGTACATCAGGAAGATGGCTCCGACCGATCGCGTGCTCAGTGAATACTACAGGCAGCAGAAACCCAAGAAAGAGGAGGAAAAGAAGGAGCCATTATGAAAGGACAGGGCCATGCATGGTATGTATCACCAACAGATAGAGGAGGTGGCTCATATCCAGAAATACTTCCAGTGGCTGGACAAAGCTGGACTGAAAGACAGCATGGAGGCACTAACCATGGCAGCACAGGTACAAGCTCTAAGAACAAGATCCATAGAGGCTGGGGTCTACCACACCAGGCAAGACCCCAGGTGCAGGCTGTGTAAAGATACCTCTGGGACAATCCAGCGCATGACAGTAGCTGTAAGATGCTAGCAGGCAGGGCATACATGGAAGGCCATAACCAAGTGGCAAGCATAATATACAGGAACATCTGTGCTGAGTATGGCCTGGAAGTCCCGAGGTCAAAATAGGTTGGTTGTGAGTAACCACGCTAAGATGTTATGAGACTTTTAGTTAAAAATCTGCTAATGGCTAACCAACCCAACATAGTGGTGGTAGACAAGCAGAAGAAGACAGCCGTAGTGATACTTGTATCAAGAAGATCAAGAAGAAGGAACACAAAAAGCTTGAGAAGTACCAAGGGCTCAGAGAAGAGCTTGAGAAGACGTAGAGCATGAAGGTAACAGTGGACCCAGTGGTAATCGGAGCAGACATAGATAGCTAGATATAGTCGAGGTCACCTCAACCCACATGTTGGGCTCTGAAGCCAGTCTTCTGGGGAGTTGCCCTTTGTGAAGAGATTCTGGCAAATTGGAGTGTTCTGTGGGAGATGCTTCAGGAATATGGGGTTAAGCAGAGTGTGAAGCGGTAGGAATGAGAATCAGCACCTCCAAATCTACCAGTCCATTGTGGTGAAGAGAGAGCTGAGTGTAAAAGCAAAGCTCTCAATTTACCGTTCGATCTACATCCCTACCCTCACCTATGGTCATGAGCTGTGGGTAGTGACTAAAAGAACGAGATTGCGGATACCAGCAGTGGAAATAAGCCTTCTCCAAAGGGTGGCTGACCTCTCCCTTAGCGATAGGGTGAGAAGTTCAGCCATTCGGGAGGGGCTCAGAGTAGATCCGCTGCTCCTTCACATCGAAAGAAGCCAGTTGAGGTGGTTCGGGCATCTAACAAGGATGCCTCCTCTGCGCCTCCTGGGTGAGGTGTTCTGGGCACATCCCACCAGGTGGAGGCCCCGGAGCAGACCCAAGACACGCTGGAGAGATTATATCTCTCAGCTGGCCTGTGAACACCTTGGTGTTCCCCCGTATAAGCTGGAGGAGGTGGCTGGGGAGAGGGAGGTCTGGGCCTCTCTGCTTAAGCTGCTGCCCTGGATAAGCAGACGAAGGTGGATGGATGGATATTTATAGTCTCCATGCATATTTGGTTTATTGAAGTGAAGCAACTTTATTTTGAGGGGACACAGATGTATGCTTAGAAAAAAAAATCTGTCCGCTATTTACAAAAGTTATGCCAGTCAGACCAGAGCACATAAGCAGACACATTCACAGATGTGTTTACTGACCTTGGACACCGAGGGCAATTATTTTGTCTCTCAGAATTTTTCCATCTCTGCTCTTGACGGTGCAAGTGTAGACACCACAGTCTTCTAGTTTGGGTTGTTTCAGGACCAGACTGAAGTCTCCTTTATTCACTTCCTCCTCACTCATCTCTGTGCGACCTTTGTAATCCCGAACTGGCAAGGAAGGCTGGTTCTGGCCACTCTGATATTCGTGGACCTTCATGTTTTGATGTCTCCACTCAACTTTGATGTGCTCATGAAGATCATCTGTAGTTTTAAAGGGCAGCTGAACAAACTCTACACCCTCTGTTAGCACCACCACCTGCAGCTGAGCAACTGGAAAGAAAACATATAGTGTCACATCACAACAGTTGCATTATGCAGCTTTATACTGTAAGGTAATGAGAGAAAAGCCTAACAATTAGACAATGATCTGAAAAAGTGGAAAGAAAAAAAGAATTTAAACAGCTTCCAACAGAAGCAGGACCAGGGACGGGTGGCCTTGTGCTGTGACTAACTGAAGGGTGAGGGGGGGAGAGACCAGAGTCAAGCACTCAAGTATTTCTTTAACCCCTGTCAGTTCTTCATATGTTGCTAGAAAATGGGAAACAAGAGGAATAATTGACAGAAAATTGCAAGCATATATGGAAAAATAATATATAAAGTTAAAGTAAATACTTGATATGACCACCTTTAATCACACAGCCTGAATTCTCTTAGGCTATGTTCACACTACAGGTCTTAATGCTCAATCCCGATTTTTTGATCAAATCCGATTTTTTTTGTCTGGTTGTTCACACTAGAAATAAAATGTGACAGCAAACGTGCTCTAGTGTGAACGGTTCAAGGCCCTCAAAGCGGCCTGCATGCACAAAAGAAGACGTCACACACAAATGCGCTCTGTTTACGGAAGTAAAAATGGTGGCTACAGAGCTAGTAGTTGTTGTTGCAGCAGTCTATCAATTTCTGCATAGTCGTATCCAACAGAGTTTTGTCTCCCCATACGCTAATCAAGTCCAAAACCTCAGTTTCTGTCCATTGATTCGCTCCGTCTCCAGTTTCCGCCGCCATGCTTTCTCATTTGTCTTCTCCGGTGCTGATAATTGGCGTCTGTCTTGTGTCAGTGACGTAAAAGATGGATTTAATGCGACATGACCGTTCAAACAGCAGTCGTGCTTTCGCCTGCAGTGTGAACGCAGCCTAAGGCAAGCTTTCTTTCTTGTAATTTCCAAACTGCTTCCTGTTTCTTATGAAAGCTAACTGTTCATCTGCTGTAGATAATTTTTAGGTCTGTCGCTTATCTTTTCATATTCCACTTGTTGAATTTCTCAGAATTTTTATGGACACACTGCACATCATGCAAAATCATGTGCAGGTTGGGGGGGTTGGGGAAACCTTAGCTGACTGCGGGTTTCCCCAACCTTATAAACAGTACATTTGCATAATGACGGAAACTAGCCCACTCAAGGAACAGTCAGTTCCTTGATCCTTGATATGCATACTGTAATGACCATTGATCAACAACCACTGACCAAAGCTCACTGATCAATGACCATGAGTACCATTCACAGAGAGTTGGGGAATCAAACCTTAAATACTGATCCGTATGCATAGGTTTATGGTACAAGTCAAATTTTAACTGTCCCCCTTTATAAGATTGGGGAAACCTGCCGTCAGCTGAGACTGAAGAAGTCACTTGGATGAGTGACGAAACGTTTCTCCCACTGAAAACACTACGTCCAGACGAACAGAATCAACTTTTGGTATTTTTTAAAGTATCACAATGTTTTTTTTTCATAGATTCAACGGAAAGAAATGGGAACAAACAATGTTTTTTGTAACAGGCTGGTTGCAAAAAAGAGCTGTAAGATACAATTTAAAACTTATCTTAGAGGACTGTAATGTGCAGAACCAACTGTTACACTCACCCCTGACACTGAGTGAAACTGACTTCTGAAGCAAGATTTTTCTGTCCTTGTTGTAGACAGTGCAGGTGTAGACTCCCCTGTCAGCAAGCTGGAGGTCCTTCAGGGTCAGACTGAGGTCTTTAGTTCGCAGTGGCTCCATGTTCATCTCTGTGCGACCTCTGTAAAACTGGTCTTGATCGTCTCTCTCGTTTTGGTCGCTCGGATACATGTAGACCATCATCTGTTTGGAGTCAGAGCGTCTCCACTCCACTTTGACATCCTGAGGAAGGTCATCTGTGGCTGTAAAGGAAAGCTTCACGTTCTTCTCCCATTCTGCTACCTCCACCATCTCCACCTGTCTATCTGAGAACATAAAGTGTACAGACAAACTGATGTCAGTGAGTTTGATCCTTGATCATCATTGAATTTGCAGTAAAACAGACCAGGGCCCAAATACACAGCAGAAAATGGATGCTAATGATAGCTGGTTTATCACTAACTAAAGCAGTTAGTGGTAGTATATTTGGATCTGATTCAAAGTGGTTTGTGACCATAGAAAAACAGCTTTTATGCTCACCTCTAACACTAAGCGTCACTACTTTCTGCCTCAGGAGTTTATTACTCTTGTTATAGACGGTGCAGATGTAGACACCGTGATCAGTAACTTGGAGGTTATTCAGTTTCAGACTCAAATCTCCAGTTCTCAGAGGCTCTTCATTCATCTCAGTGCGACCTCTATAAACCTCGTCCTGTAAGAGATGCTGGTTTTGGCTGCTCTGATACACGAATATCGTCCTGTCTTTGTGTTTCCACTTTACTGTGACATCATCAGGCAAGCAAACAGTGGTTTTAAAGGGCAGCCAGACAGAGTTCTCCCATTCTGTCACTTCCACCATATCCACCTGGAGAGCTGATAGGAAAAGTAAATTATTGCAGTTCTTCAACCTTTATCTAAAAAATCATTGAAAAACAAGTATCTTCAAAGACATGCTTAACATCGTTGGTGTGTTTAATTTTACTGCATCATACTTCCACAGGTACATCATCTAGACCAGCTGCCTTTACACTGTTCTTCTTATTCATAGCTGCCCTCAATTCCGGATTTACTACATCAGACCATCCTCTCATCTTTTTTAATTCACAAGCACATCAAAGCCCCATTTTATATTGGGGCTACACTGAGACCATCCATAGAGCACAAAGTAAAGACCCCAATCAATCTTCAATCTTCCTCCACTATTCTCAGCAGGATAAAGAGCTGGCCCCGTGTTCCATGACCAGGACAAAACTACATTGCTCCTCCTGGGAACCACTGGCTAAAGCCTAGCCACCAGGTGCTCTCCAGCAAACACTCAGCCCTAGCCTGGCTCCAGGCTGGGTCCCCCTATCCTAGACGATGATACCAAATCCCTTGATGCATTTTGAATCCTAGGGATTTTTCTGTTAAATAAAAAAGTACATCATTGTAACACCCAGGGAACCACATATTCCCTGCTGTCACAGAGTAGAGGAGTGACATTTTTTAATTTTCTCCTCTCAGCTTTTTAAGGTTTAGAGTTTTACAGTTTTGTCTCCAGCAGACAAAAACAAGCACACCGTTATTAATCAGAATTTGTTGGAGATGAATGAAGGAGCTGCAGCTCTGTTCTTTGTAAACCATAAACGTTATAATACACAGTAACACACTTACTTACCTTCACCCCTCTTCTTCCTCTGATTTCTGCGAAACTTGCAGAAACCAAAGACAGCACCAATAAGGAGAATCAAACCTATCAGGACACCTAAGATAACTTTTATATGTCCTGGTAGGTTTAAATCTCCTGGTGGAGGTTCTGAAATCAACACAAACAACAAAAGCCTGAACGTCACGCAACATAATTTTATAAATTCATTTGAATCTGAAGTCTACCTATAGCACTGACCTTTGACCGTCAGTTCTACTTCAGTGCGCTTCTCATCTTGTCCATATTTGCGGACGATACAGGTGTAGTTTCCACTGTCGGAGACTGCAGGATTCCTAAGAGTGAGGCTGAGGTCTCCAGTCTGCAGGGCTTTGTCACTCATTATCGTTCGACTGAAGTAACGCTGGTTTTGATCTTTCAGCTCATCTCCGGTCTGCAGACGCATGTGGACTGTTGGGATCTTGAACTCATCACGGTCCCAGACCACTGCTGTGGAGCTTCTGGAAACATTAGCTGGTACCTGACAGGGTAGCAGGACAGACTCCTCCCCCACAAATACCTCCACTCCTGATGCATGAGATGAAACTGACAAGAGAAAGAGAGGATGTGCCAGTTAATCTGAAACACCGATGTTCCAGATTAACTGGCAACGCAGATCAAGTGGCATTGTTGAACAGATGTGTGGCAGACTTGCTTTTTAGGAGCTGCTACCGACAAACCAGCAAATAAACACCAAATCTTTCATCTGTGACCTTTGTGAGGTTACGTCAAATACACTCTGTCAGTCTTGTTGCTGTTTCTGTTACTTCACAAAGTAAACTAAAGCGTGTAGTTTACTTTGTGTGTACTCAGTGGTGTGTCCAGTGGGGTGGCCCCCC